CGGCTGTCTCCTTTTCTCCTTATGCTAGATTCCAGAGTGTAAGCAGTGGGTGGTTGGCGGGTGCTCTGGTGTGGTTTGCTCCTTCTTTCCCATCAAACATCTATCGTCCTTATCTTCTTCTCCTTCTTTTTTATGTTTGTTACTCTCATGCAACACCTCTTATCTTCTGGCGCTGATATGACCTTATGCAGTTGCGAGCGCCGTAAAATCTCTACTAAAACTAAACTAGAGCGTAAGCTTTTTGCCCGAACATAAAAAAAATTGTTTGTGTGTGTAGTCCGTTTCCCGCACCCAAAGCGTGAAGTCTCTGGAAACCTGAATATGCCGTTTTGGAAATTTCCCTGTTTTATTTACAGTGACGAAAGTATATTTAGCTTTGGTATTAATTTTGTTCAAACAGCTGGCGGGAGAAGGAGTTTCTTTACTGTGCACTCGGTGTACCTGGCACTGCCGAGTTTTTCTTTATCATAGATGAGTGGGCGAAATTTCATGTACCTTGGGATTCAGATGTTTAAAAAAAAGTAGGTTAGTTTTCCCTCTCCAAGTTATTTATCGAGCATGCAAGAACTGGGCGTCGAACCAAATACTTTTGGCTTGAAAGGGGAACCTTTACCTCTGCGCAAAAATATATTTAAAACTTCTTTTATCTTTTATAAGTGTTATACGTATTTGACGCACATGTTCACACACATTTACACACACATATATACACATAGCCTCACACACATCAGCTCAAATATCCACACCCAGTATATTCACACCGAACACACATAATATACTCACACCAGGATAAACGCATACACACACACACACTTATACACTGCTTACTTTAGTCCCTCGCTAACCCCCCCTCCCAAGCAAGCCTCCATGATTTTCATCTTTACTCCTCCCCTGACCTTTTTAACAGTCGCCAAAATCAGCCCCATCTCTCCCCACTACCCTCTCACTTTCCCCTTTTCTTCCTCCCTACATCACTTTTTCCCTGGTGCAAAGGCTGTAGAAAAGATGCTTTAGTTATTTGCCAAGAGAGAAAAACATATTAGTCGTTTATACGGCCTCAAAAAAAAATCTTTCTTTTCTTGTATTAAACCTTGTCGATGGTTTGGCATCTGGTGGTGTCAGACGCCACATTCAGAAAGAATCAGTTTCGACTCAGAACAAATCACGACTCAACAAACGACTAAAGTATACGCTGGAAATAACAAGGTAATCTTTCACATGATGATTCTGTGCTCGCTAATTTGAATAAACGTGTATGAATTCCAGCCTCAACAAGGGAAAAACAAAAGCTCTTCATTTCAATGAGTTGTTTTCACCTTTTCTGTACCCCCCCCCCCTTTTATGGACAATTTACCAAAGGATATCTTAGTAATCGCCTGTCCCAATAAATAACAAAATGTACCAAGCTACTAAACTGACCCTGCCGCCTCTCCCCCCCAACCCGTCACTAGGAAATGGTTATGTAGTACCTAGAAACAGGACATTCTTGCTCCATAGTTTTTCTTTTCTTTCCGGTTTTTTTTTTGATAGCGGAAGATATCATCTGCTCAATCACACTGTGAAGCTGTTTTTTGCATTGAGAGCGAAATATAGAACCCCAACGTTCCATCATCTGTAGCTGATGCAGTCAGCATGTACGGGCACATAGGCGCAATCATAAAGCCATCACTTTCGCCTCCACCCCACCCCACCCCCATACACACCCACACCCCCTCTCAGTCCCCGTCTCTGCCTCTGTCTTTGTCTACCTCTGCCCCCAGCCCACCCCCTTCTATTCCCCTTTCTTTGTCTCCGTGCTCTCTGTCCCGTTTGTCTGTCAGTTTGCTTGTTTTCTTGTATATCTAGCTTCATATGTATGTTGTGACGTCAGTTGAGGTACTAGTTGTTTAATACGGGGTGCCCACTACGGCTGGATCGGGCCGATCGCCCGACTCGATCGTCTGAAACGTTTGTTTTTGAGGCGATCGAGTCG